AAAGCAGCTCCTGCAGGTAAGTGGGGTGGGGGCATGGGTGACTGGTGCCTCCCAAGTCTGGGGGGGGGGGCACCATATCACCAACTGGGGCAGGTGGGCAGTCCTCTAGGGGCCAGCTGACAAGCCAGCAGCAAAACGGGAAGAGAATGGCCAATCTCAGGGGGTGCACGTGCACCCATGTGCACCCCCTACACATCGCCAATGGATTGGCGGGGGGGAGGCGGGGAGATTGAGGCCTCCATTGTGAGGGACAGAGGGAGCTGGGCAGGGCTGTGGCTGCTGCCCAGCCAGGTGGTGTGTGGGACTCAGGGCTCAGGGCTCTAATGCATTGCTGCAGGTTCCTGACGGGGAGTGGGACAGGGCTGCAGGGCAGGGGCAGAGTGGGCTGCCTGCTGCGGACTTGGGCTCCTGCCCTGCTGCCCTCCCCCAGGGCCTCCACAGCCCAGCAGGTGCAACCTAGTGCTGCAGGGTCCAGCAGGGCTGCACGGGGATCTCCTTGCCACTGCAAGCTCTGCACTATCCTTGTAACGCATTCCCTACATGCACAACAGCAGCAGGGGCAGTGGCACAGGGTTGGGTCCCTCGCTGATGCTGTCTGTGCAGCGGACGCCTCACCAGGGCAGCATGGAGTTTGCAGCAGCAAAGAGATCCCTGCACGGTCCTGCAGCACCAGGTCACACCTGGTGGGCTGCAAAGGCCCTGGTGGAGGGCAGCAGGACAGGAGCCCAAACCCACAGCAGGCAGTCCACAACCACCCCATGCACAGATCTGGCAGGTACAGGTCCCCTCTGCCCCCTGGAAGTGTGGCCAGTGGTAAGAAGCCAGCCCTCCCGCCCATACCCACAGCAGGCAGGCAGCAAGGGAGAACTCTGCTGCAGCAGCCACTGTTTCCTGCCAGGGCCCTGGCCTCATACCTCTGGCAGCTGGAGGCCCCCTCCAGCAGGAACTGAGCAGCACCAACAGGGCCAGGGGGACTGTGGGAGGGAGCAAGGGGCCTTTCATTTTAATAATGGATTTTGGGGTTTTTAAAAATCAGAGAATCTGTGATTTATCAGATAATTTGCAATTTTTTTTTTAAATCAAGGAAAACCAGGATCCCTGGTGATGACACAACCTTGCTTAAATTCCACCTTAACCTCAAAGGGATCTGTGATAGATGCATTACTGAGAGCCAGCACTTGCATACTGTCATGAAGCAGACAAGGAACGGCAACGAATTTCAGGGGGCATCCATACTTCAGAAGGATCCTCCACAAAGCTTCTTGTGAGGTCAAAGGCCATGTAGAGAGGTTTATGTAGTTCCTGGCATTTTTCCTGCAGCTGGCAAGCAGTGAAGATCATGTCAGTTATGCCTCTTAATGCTCTACAACCACACGGAGATTCCAGGAGGAGTTCTTCAGCAAGTGGAAGAAGACTGTTCAGGAGGGTTCTCACAATGATTTTTCTGGTGGTGGACAGCAAGGAATCCCTCTGTAATTTCTGCAGTTGGACTTGTCTCCTTTCTTGAAGATAGTCATGATCACAGCATCCCTGAGGTCATCTGGGATTTCCTCGTCATTTCAGATCCTTAAGATGAGGGCATGGAGCTGAGATGCGAGTTCCTCTCCCCACTGCTTGAAGATTGCAGTGGAGAATCCATTAGCTCCAGATAAAAGGGCGCACTGGCGTTTGCACCAGGTGCAGGGGTCAGCCCACTGAGGTCCCTTCTGACCCTTGAATCTATGAATCTAAGATGGCTTGTCATTTTTCATCTGCTTGATGGCTTTCTTCAACTCATCAAGGGTTGGAGGGATTCCAAGATAGTCTCTGACTGGGTGTTGCAGAATGAAGTTGAGAACACTTTCATCAGCAGCAAAGCCTTAATTGAAAAGGTCTTCAAAATGTTCCTTCCAACAAGCATTGATGTTTACCCTTTACTTGATCAGGTCTCCTCCATCCATAGGTGTCAAGGGCATTTGTCCCGAGTGCTCAGAATGTAGATGGCTTGAGTGACACTGAAAAAATCATGCATATCACTGTGATAGCATGATGTTGAATCTCCTTTGCTTTGTCTTCTCACCATCTGTTCTTCATATTGCGGGTCTTCCTTTGGACCTCTGCCTTGGCTTGTTGGTGATTCAATTTCTTTTGCCTGGAGTTGATGTCATCCTGCTAAGTATAAAAGACCTTGCACTTGCAGTCTATCAAGCCTTGGATCTCCTGGCCATGTTCATTGAACCAGTCTTGATGTTTTCCAATACAGAATCCAAGTGTCTCTTCACAGTTGCTGATGATGGTGGACTTGAAGGCACCCTGCTGGTATTCTCCTTCCTGTTTACCCTTCCAGAAAAAAGGTATAGCTGTGTCCTTGTTCTTTAAGCTGCCCTTCTCCTACTTGCCAGCTCTCACTCACTGCAGCAATGTCAATGTTGTATTGCCCAAGTTCAAGCCACAATTGCGGTGTGGCACTCCAGGTGTTCGCTATTAGGATTGTCTGCAAGGGTCCTGATGTTCCAGGTCCTGAAACTGATTGCGTGTCTTCATTGATTTTGACCACAGTCAAGGTACTGCGCCTTTGTGCCAGTTCATGATTGACAGTTGTGAGTTTCCAAACCTCACAAACTTACTCCCGTTGTCAACAGTTGGTCGCCAAAGGACATGAAGGATGTGCTGGAAAAGCCATATTCTTGGAAGATGCCTGTATGCGATTTCTTTTACTATAGAGAAGATGCTGCACTTCAGCTTCCACATAGTTCTTGACAGAACACGACCTCAATCCAATGGCAAGGGGGACAAGACAATTGGAGATCTCATTGTGCTGCAGCCTTCATCCACTTTCACAGCTGTTAAGATTCTAAATCCAACATCGTTTTTTGCCTGCTGCGCTGTCGAGGACCCAATGCTAGAGGAGTGGAGAGGTTTATTATAATGGAAATCTGTACTCGCCATATCACAGCACCATCAATGGATATATGTGGCTTTTCAAATCATTACCATCTGCTGTCCCCACCACATCCTGATGGTGCTACCACTGATTGGTCTACAGCTGCTTATTAGTCAGAATTATTTCTATTTATTTTGCAACTAACCTTCCTGGAAGGTCATTCCATTATCTACCACCTGACTACAGTGGATTGCAAACCCAAGGAAATGCAATATCATGCATGGCAAGAAGTGGTCAGACTCGTTTCTGTTCTACAAGGCAGATCAAAAGTCCAGGTGCACATGCTGGGGTGTGCATGCGTGTGTATGTGTGTGCATGCATGCGTGTGCGTATGAAAAACCGACACTGTCACTATGGTATGTGAGAAAAAACTATGGGCATTTCTATACTGTAACTGCAGCATGTGTAGGTATATCTGCATTAGCTTTAGTAAATACAGCAGTTTTGGCGTGACTTCAGTACAAACGAGCAACTTTAGTACATATCAATGTTCCAATGGTCTTATACAACCCAAAGTAAAGTCTTTTAGGCTGCCATGTCTTTGATGCTGTTGTTACTCAAGCTAACTAAACTAAAGCCAATATAGGGCTGCTGCAACCACACACATCCTTCCAGCATGTGGACATCAATCCATGTACGAAACAGATTTTGAAAAACCACATGATACAAACTAGAACTAATACCCAAAAAAGCACATGTCCAAATTTATTGCATACAATTCTATTCTCTGTCAGATGTAGTAGTTTTAGGTGTTACTTTTCAATGAGTAGGCAAGGGGTTATCAGACACATGTAGTTAGATCTCCAGAGTTCTTTAGGACGACTTTTTTCTTTCCTTTTCAGCACAGAGCAAGAATTTTACTGTTGCAAAATATATAATTCAGGTAGAAAGTTCAGAGAGTTGACTGCCTCTCAACACACTGATCAGGAAATAAATACGAATTTGAATGCTTCAGACTATTATTGCAAATGCAAGAGGATGTTTTTCCACTCGCTGACATCCAGTGATACCATAAAATACAGGACCTAGTTTCCAGAAGCCAATTTCTAATTAGCCCCCTTTGCTCTCTGTCAGAGGCATTGTGCTCTAGAGCAGCCATGCAAGGCCACAATTTTCCAATTAGGTTGTCAGGTTGTAAGCTTTTACTTGAGAAATAAATTTACTAGACAGCAAGTTTAATATTAAAGTGTTAGCCTGTGGAAGGTGACTCGTTCCCATGCACTACTTTGGAAATTTACCACTTGTTTGACTTGTAAAATGAACATGTATTAGTGATTTCATATAACAGTTTTCCCTCAGAATTACAATATTTATCAGTTAAAAATATTAACAAGTTTGATGGCTGAGCCCAGCTTTGAGAAAACATAAAAAGCTTAAATAGCATTTTTCATCTTCTATAAAGGAAGAGTTAAAAGATTACTTTAACATTAACAGTATAAGAAGGGTATAAGGAAAATGAAGGTGGCATCTTGTATGGATTCTTCTTTGCAGAGAAAAATATATTTGACTCATGTCATACATACAGATTTCTATGATTTTTTTCCATTCAGCCATAATATCATAATTTTTAGTTCAGATATTAAAATATTTTTTATCTAGAAGAAAGTTGTGTTCACATTGCATATAATGTTTTCTGCCCATAACAGAAGATGGCAGAAAGTGAAAATTCTGATTATCCAGATGGTATCCAATGCTTAAGGCTTGTATGAAGGACTTCAAATTCAGTTTTTTATATTTTTTGGAAAAAAGCATACTTTTTAAAGCACAAATAGGCACACTTGCCTACTAATATACTGTGAATTGGTCACTGATTTGATGAGGAACTATCTAACCTCCTTCAAAACTCAGTGTTGAATTCAGAATATATTTAACAATTTTTAATATACATGAGTTTGAGTTTACTTACCACAGTCATCAAGAAGGATGTTTTCAGGCTTCAAGTCTCTACAAGGAAAATAAAACAAAAAGCCAGTCATCAGAAAGGGAAGGTTACAGCCACTATCAAGCACAGTTTCCACAGCCCGATACTTACAATCAGTTACTCTCTTTAGAAAACGAGAGCTGGGTACAAAATAGCTATAAGCATCTCAAGTTTTACAACTTCATTTTATAATATATAATATTACAACTTCACATACTGTCGATGAAGAAAGTTAAGAAGAGGCTGACGGGAAAAAAAAAAAAGAAAGGTCCCCTTTCCTCTGCCCCTCCCCCAAATTCTCATGGAAATATCAATAAATAGTTTGGGGAGATGATATGTTCAGTATTGTAACAAGAAGCAGACATTTTCTCTAGAAAGCAGGTTCTCTTTATAAATGTTTCAGGAGGGAAAGGAGGCAACCGGAGGGGAGGCAACTCCACACTCTCCACGCTCCAAACAGGCCGAAGGAGCCAAGCAGTCCCGGAGGAGAAAGCGTTGAGTGATCATCATAGGCGACTCCATCCTGAGAGGTACAGAGGGCCCCATCTGTCGCCAGGACCCCCCAACACGCGAGGTCTACTGGCTACCCAGAGCAAAGATTCAGGACGTGACAGGGATGATCCAGGCCATGAACCAGCCCACCGATTACTACCTCATGGCCCTAATCCATGTGGGTACTAATGATGCGGCCAGGAGAAGCCCTGATCACCTGATGGCAGACTACCACGCTCTGGGGGGCATGCTGAAGGGGGTAGCTGCACAGGCGGTATTCTCTTCTGTCCTACCAGTGAGCGGACGTGGAAGACGGCATAAGACATGCATCGCAGAGACCAAGTGGCAGCTTCGGGAATGGTGTCTTGAGGAGGGCTTTGGCTTCCTTGACAATGACCCGCACATCATGACAAGAGACATGCTCGTGTGGGATGGGCTCCACCTTTCCCCTAAGATAAGTGTGTGTTCTCTTCTAGGTTGGCGGATCTCCTTTGGTGGGCTTTAAACTAGGCTCGTCGGGGGAAGGGGAAGACGAGGGCGGAGGAAGCCTTGGACTGCTAAATCAAGCAGCACTCACAAGTACAGCCCAGCCTAGGCCGACGAGCGGAACATATACACAGGTAAGCGACAGGGGCCAGGGCAATGCTGAGAGTAGGGGGCCAGTGCACACATCCACAGGAGGCCTCAAATGCCTCTACACAAACTCTCATAGTATGGGAAATAAGCAGTAGGAACTTACCGTCCTGCTAGCTGACACCAACCCAGACATAGTGGGGCTCACTGAAACGTGGTGGGACCCAACGCATGACTGGGCGGTGAATATCAAGGGCTATAGGCTGTACAGGAGGGATAGGACAGGGAGGAAAGGCGGGGGTGTGGTGCTGTACACATTAAGAAGAAATACACTTCCTCATCAAGTAGCACAGAGTCAGAGGAGGGGCACACTGAAGTGCTCTGGGTTAGAATACAAGACAGTCAAGGGGAAAGAGACTTAATGGTGGGGGTCGACTGCAGACCACCCAACCAAGGGGAAGAGCTGGACCAGGAATTCTTAAGTGAGCTCACGGAGGTAGTTAGGTCAAAGGACATGGTCATCATGGGTGACCTGAACTTTCCAGATATCTGCTGGGAAGAGCAGTCAGCCAGGTCTGACCACTCACGTAGGTTCCTAGCCAGAATGCAGGACCTCCATCTAACCCAGGAGGTGCACAGCCCCACCAGGGGAGACGCCTTGCTGGACCTGGTGCTGGCCACGGGTGACGACCTGGTGAGGGGGCTGCGGGTGCTCGACCACCTGGGCAACAGTGATCATCGCCTGCTGGGATTCGCCATCCAGCGCAAGGTGGCAAAGGCCTACAGCAAGGCAGCAGCCCTAGGTTTCAGGACAGCGGACTTCAATGAGCTAAGGAGAATAGTCAGGGAAGCACTGAGGTCCCGGAGGGGAGGGGAGCCAGGTGTCCAAGGAGAGTTGTTGCTCCTTAAGGAGACGATCCTCCAAGCCCAAAGGGAGGTAATCTCAACACAGATCAAAGGGACCATGAGAGCGCAAAAGCCCCCATGGCTCACCAAAAGCATCCAGGAATGTCTCCTAGCTAAAAGGGAGGTGTACACCCAATGGAAGGGAGGGGCCATCACCAGCAAGGATTATATTGTAGTTGCTCGGGAATGCAGGGGGGCAGTCAGGAAGGCCAAGGCGGAGATGGAACTGGGAATAGCTACACAGATCAAGGACAACAAGAAGTCCTTTTTTAAATACATAGGGGGCAAAAAGAAGGTACTGGGTAATGTGTGGCCCCTGCAAGACACACTAGGAAATTTGGTCGTTACACCAGATGACAAAGCTATTTAACGACTTCTTTGCCTCCATTTTTCTGAGAAGGGACCGGATCAGCCCCCTCACTGCGCCCCCGCCTCAGGCCCCAAGGGAGGTACACCTAGGCCAAGGGTCAGTGAGGATCTAGTCGGGGAACTTCTGGAGGGACTGGATGCATTTAAATCAGCTGGTCCGGACTATCTCCACCCCAGAGTGCTGAGGGAATTAGCTGAGGTCATTGCGGGACCCCTGACAGGGCTTTACGAGCACTCGTGGTGCTCTGGTGTGGTGCCAGAGGACTGGAAGAGGGCCA